CTAAACTACGGAGGGGGGTTGTCATGTGTGGATGTGGAGCTGTAGGGGCGCGCGCGCGAGAGAGCGAGTGTGTGTGTGGGGGGGGGTCTAGAAAAGCCAGGGTGTGACATCCTTACAGTATAAAATACTTCACAGAATTCATTACACTGGGCAAAAAATGTTTAAAATAGGATTCACGTCAGATATCTGTCCACATTGCACTCAAAACAGCTATAACAACCCGGATAGCTATGTTCACGCCACCTGGCACTGCACACCAGTTAATCACTTTTGGAAAGAAATAACTGAGTCACTGTCCGTCTTCCTGGGCTGCCTCGTCCCATTATCCCCTTCACTGTGCTTACTAGGAGACATCTCAAAACAAATCGCAAATTACTCCTCGTGGCCCTAACTATCGCCAAGAAAACTATCCTCATGAACTGGAAATCAAGAAATAACACACACATCACACACTGGAGAAACTTAATGATAGAGTATATTTCAATGGACAATCTAACCTCGTCCATCATATACAATACAACAGAACACCACTCCACCTGGTCATCCCTCACTATGTTTCTGCAAACGTGACACCACCCATCCTATTAATATTAAAATTTGTATAGTATATATCTATTTTTTTTTATGTATTTATTGCTATTATTGATTTTTGTTTTGTTGTTTTTCTTGCCTGACAACCAATTGAAACCCACGTACATGCATACATGAACATCCATATGCACACATACTTTGTTGTTTTTTAATTATTATTATTTATTTATTTTTCTCCCATCTCAAAAGGCTCAAGGACATTCTCACACACACACACTATATGTTTGCTAGCTTTTATCCCACTGTTCTTGTCATCCTCTTGTTGTTATGTCTATGTATTGTCTAATATTGTCTCTTGTCTTTCAATAAAAAAAGAAAAAAAAAAAAAAAGAAAGGGAGAAATTAATTCTCCTATTAATCAGCCATTAAGCGTCTGAAGGTACAAAACTAATTCCTCACAAAACATGGAAACTGTAAGTGATGGAACATAAATCCTTTGTATGAAGGCTCGAAACCCGGCAACTTAAGTAGAGTTTGAGGCCCTGATAATGCAATTGATATATTTAATACATCCAACAAACCTACATGCATCCAGTATGCAATAATGAATACTATTCTTTCATAATGTACCCAAATTACAAATCATTAACCACATTATAATCTAAATCTATCATTTTTAGGATTAATAGACCTAAATTAGTAAATGTTACTCTAATAAATCTACAAAACCAACCCGATCAATGGCCCTGACATAATAGATTTACCTTTATTTGATTTATTGTAGGTACAATAAAACATTTGTTTTAAAACATGCAGGCATTGAAAATCAAACCACACATTATTGAGAATGCGTTTCAGTTTTAGTCTGCGTTCAGCTGCGTGATTCCGCAGCATTGGCTGGATGTTGTTTAAATGTGAGGCATCTTGGTTTATTTTGTTAGGAAGTACTGCAGGAGAACACGGGAGGCAATCTCGATATGGAAAACAAAATATGGTGGCAGACGAAAGAAGACAAAGGATGAGCAGGAAGACATGTGGAGATGTGGAGATGCAGCCTGGGGGAAAGACACAGGGTCAAATCTACCCGAGGTCAGTGAACCCTCAGACAGGCCCTGGAGGAGGTTTTCTCTTCTTCAGACTCTCTCACACGCAAACAACGCTGTGGTGTGAGAGGACTAGCCTCAAGGTTTAGCTGCTGTTTGATTGCAGCTCAAATCCCACCAGAGCCTCCTCCTCGGTTCTCCCGTCTTCGTTTCCGACACAAAACATTTGGCCCCTTGCAGCGCTTCACTTCTTCTATTTGGTTTTACTCTCCATCTCTCGGAGAAGAGAGGAAAGACCAGACTACTCTTTGTCTCATCTCCATTAGTCTGGGATCAGGCCTTCCAGTCTGAAGGTGCAACTGTGCCCCTCTCATGTTGCTACTTCCAGGCATTTGAACATGCATGCAGTCAATCAATTAATCCCACAGGCTGAGCACGAGCTGCAGAGCAGCGGGCTCTTAACAGGCCTAATGCAGAGGTTTATACAGCCCATCTACTCTCTTTAACAGCACCAGAGGATGGATATATCAAACTCACAGACAGCTGCAGGGCAATAAACCAGCCTTTTATTGCAAACGAGTCATAAACTCTCCCCAATCAGCCACAATTAAAACATAATATTTACCAATAATTACATCCCCTGGCGACGGCTCCCACCAACCACCGTTACTGCTGCAACACGAGTTACTGTTTAACAAGAGTTGAGATAAAGTGTGCAAAGACAGACCACTCAGTTACTGTATTGATCGAACTACCTAAAAAGTGAATAGAAGCTCAAAAAACAAAGGTGATATGCAGGAGCTGTGCAAACAAGAGAGTCAATCTTTAACATTGTGACTGCTGCCCTGAACAAAGCACTGATCAAGCAGCCAAAGACACAAACTCTTGACACAATAGATGGCGGACAGAGAGACAGAAAGATGACATGCAAAGCCACCACACAGGGCTTCAAGACAACTGTTCCTTTACCCATGAATGGAGCTGCAGCGTGGAGATGAGAGGACACACACATGGTTTTACAGTCTGAACGAGCTTGTGTGTGTATTAAGCTTACCTTGGAGTACTGTCTACGGAGATTGAAGCGCTGCACCATCCTGACTGATGTGTTCACAGCTGGAACCCCTGTTCTACTCCTCTACACTGATATCTCTTCAGAGTGCAGAACGCCTTACATTGTAGAGTCTACATTCACGCACATACATATGGAAGGTACACACGCTACCCTCCTCTCCAAACAGCCATGAGCACACACGCTTCTAGTCCACACCGCTTTCGTCTACTATGCAAACACAAGTGAGGAGAGAGAGAAAGAGGGAGATGAAAAAAAAGAAGGGAGGAAGAGCAAGCAGAGATAAAGACAGGTCAGGTGCATTGCCCTCTACTCATATTCACAGTGATCCCCTGAGCTCTGTCTCTCAGAGGCTCACACAAGATCCTCACACCACATGGCTGTCAAATAACTTCCAGTATACCCACACACACACACACACACACACAGTTCGTTACCTCTAGTCACACACCCCTCCACATCCTCTGTCACACAACCACACACAGCCTCAGCACTCGGCTCTCACTCATCTAGGACGAGGCAAGGTTGCCTCCTGCTTCCTGTCAGAGAGCCGATGGGTGGGGCGAGGAGGAGGAGGAGAAGGGGGAGATGGGAGAGGAGGAGGGACCAACTGACTGTCTGTACTAACTATCTCCAGGGACATAGGGAGGGGGACAGGGAAGGAGAGAGAGAAAGAGGAACATGGGGGGGGGGGGGTTCTTAGAAAAACAACAGGGGGAGAAAGAATGAAATGAGGCAGGCAGTTACCTTGCCTTGCCCGCCCATCTCTCTGAGTATCTTGTGTG